AATGGGTCCAGCAAGAGTAAGCAGATCCCTCATTTAAGGACCTGACTATGCCATGAGGGGCTTCCACTTCCCGCTCCCTAGAGCCAGGGCGGGCAAACTACAGCTCACAGGCAAATCCAGCCCGCTGACTATTTTTCTAAATAAAGTTTTATTGGAACACAGCCACACATGTGTTTTCATGTCATCTGTGGCTACTTCACAATCCAATAGCAGACCTGAGTAGTGGCAGTGCGATCACATGGCTTGCAAAGCCTAAAATATTTACTATCTCACCCTTTGCAGAAAAAGTTTGCCAACTCGTGCCCTTGACCATCTGCTAAGGCGCCCTTTCGGATACCCCCATTCTCACTACTTCTTCCTCCAAGTGACACCTGGGCCTAGAGACAGCCCAAAACACCCCACCCCCACAGCCCCAAACCCAGCAGTGACAAAGGCCAGCCCTAGACAGGGGGAGCTCTGCCCCGTCCAGGCCCTTGCCACAGCACATCTCCCAAAATGACCTCGTACTCACCAGCACTATAGATCACCACCATGCCAGCAACCATGAGCACCGGGTGCCAGTTGAACATGAGCACGCTGCCATCCCAGGCAAAGCCACCACGCCAGTACTGCACCCAATAGATGGTGAGGAGGATGCACATGGAGCCCAGGGACCCCAGCACCAGGCAGGACAGGTAAAACTGTCCCACAGCCATTCTGCTCAAGCGCTCCTAGAAGAAGCGGAAGTCACACATCCCTGCTGGCTCAGGTGCGCCCTGCACACCAGCTAAAGGAAGTAACACTGACGTCGCTGTTGGCCCAAGGGATGGACACTTCTTGCTTCCGTTGCCCTGCCATCATCCTGGGCACCACCCCATGAGGCCTCGGTGGATGGGTGGGCCTGACCTCTGAGTATGGACAGTGAGTGAGGCCCCACCCAGCACATGACAGCACACAGTCCAGCCAGCTTGGGCCTGGGGCTGGGCCCGAACAGGGGCCTCCTCTGCTGTGGCTGGATGCCAAGGCTCTGGGCCCACGGCCCTGAGATTAGTCTGCCGTCACAGGACCAGAGGGTAAAGAATTACCCTCTAGAAAGGAAGGGACAGGAATCAGAATCCAGGCTAGGTCACACAAATGCCAGGCCCTCGGTTCTAAAAGAAAGAGGCAAAAATCACAATCTCCAAGACGCAAATACACTACTCTTAGGCCAGCCGGGAGGAAGTCCTATGGGCTCCCACTTCTACAGGAGAGTTCTTCCCCAGATGGTGAACTCTAGGGGGCTAAGCCTCCCACTGGGGAGGTCAGACCAGGCCTTCGCTCTGGAGTCCCCACACTCCACACCTTGAGTTGGGCGATAGCCCTCAGCTTCTGCTTTCTCTTCCTCTGGGGAAAGTCCAGAGGAGAAAAGAGGAAGCAAGAACTCATGGTCTAGAAAGCAAGAGTTTATTTTGAGATTTCCATGTGTACTTGATAAACTCAGAAGCCAACTCTGGTTTCGGGCATGGTGAACGCCTAGGCTCCTGAGCAGCTGCTCTTAAGAGCCAGGCAAGGGCCAGCCTGGTAGCGCAGTGGTTAAGTGCACACGTTTGGCTTCGGTGGCCCAAGGTTCGCCAGTTCGGATCCTGAGTGGGGACATGGCACTGCTTGTCAAAAGCCATGCTGTGGTAGGCGTCCCACATATAAAGGAGAGGAAGATGGGCATGGATGTTAGCTCAGGGCCACTCTTCCTCAGCAAAAAGAGGAGGATTGGCAGTAGTTACCTCAGGGCTAATCTTCCAAAAAAAAAAAAAAGCCAAGCAAGAGGTTGTGAGGGCTAGCAGGCCTGTGCACAAAGCCACAGGGCTGCCCTGCTTTCAGCTAACGTGTAGGCGGCCTGGCCCAGCTCTCAAGGCAGTCACCCTGTCCCATGGACTCACACCAAGAAGGTGACACTGTGGCTTCCCGCAGTTGAGGTCCCTCAATCTGAACTAGCTAACAGAGAGAAGAGGAGGCCCCTAAGATAGCCAGGAACTCCCAAGGAGAGAAAAGACTTGATTCCTCACCTTTAGACCTAGTGGCAAGCCAAGAGGGTGGTGTCCTGGGCTCCAATTCTTATGAATGGAGGCAGCTCGAGCAAATCACTTAACACATGTAGGTCTCAGTCTTCTCATCTGAAAGAAAAGCATGATAATAAGGACATAATTTACTGAAAGCCAGCTCTGAGCAGACACTACACTAGAACCTTATGCACATGATCCCATTTACACACATGATCCTCTTGACAGCTCTGTGAGCAGTTATCAAGCCCATTTCATAGATGAGGAAACTGAGGCTCAGAAAGATTAAGTACCTAGCATTAGGAGCCAGCAAATGGGCAGAAAGTTTCAAATCTCATCTGTTTGGCTTTGAGGCCCATGTTTTTTCCTTGACTACAGGTTGTCAGAAGGTCAAACAGTGAGAAAATGCATGTAAGGACATGTGAGAGTCAAGTATTATACTTTTCTTAGTATTGTCACAGCATTTCATCCTAACTACTAACAAAACCTGAAGCTCATGGCCCCTGTGCCTGCCCAGGCTTCTCAGTGGCCCTGATTCCATGCCATGCCAGCTCTCTCCGTGCCAGGTTAACCAGAAACAGATGCTGAGGTCTCACAAGGTGATCCAAGTTGGCGGCAATCTCTAAGAAAGGAAGATCTGAGGGCTGGGGGAAAAGACAAGCTTCTGTGAGGCTGCAAGCACATCATGCCACCAGCTTCCTAGAAATTTTTGACTCATGACTCAACTACTGAGCTCAGAGATTTGCTACCTAGCCTCAGAGCTGTCCCCTTAGTTCCTGCAAGAGCAGAGGAAGTTTCAGGCCACCAGATGTTGTCACCCAGCAGTGACGTGTTTAAGTCAGCTTGAAGGAGCCCTTGGTCAGCAGGCTCCATCCATCGGACAACATCTACTTTCACGACTTTTTTTCCTTTGTAAAATGAAAACAGAAAAGTCAACATGATCCCAAACGGACTGTATCTACTACCCTAGAAGTCAGACACAGCCGGGCTGGGGACTCCTGATTATTGCTCTGGGACAGACCTGGAAGACACAATGGGGATCTTTCCTGACAGAGGGCTGCGGTGTTATACTGCTCAGTACACAGATGAGCCCTCCCTCTGCCTGAAAGAGAGCACAACAGGAGAGAAAAAGGAAGAATGCACTGAAGACTGCAACCCAAACGCGGAGAATATTCTCTCACTTATTCAAAGAGAGCAGGTGGGGCTGTGATTTCCAGATGCACTCCCCCCGGTTTGGTCTCCTACTCTGCCCTCACTAGGTAGAGCCCCATTCGAAGGCAGAAGTCTGCAGACACTTGTGGCAAGGGCCAGAATGGTAAATATTTTAGGCTCTGCAGGCCATACGGACTCTGTCACAACTATGTCATCAACTCTGCCGATGTTGTACAAGAGCAGTCAGAGACAACACCTTCACATGTGGACATGGCTGTGTTCCCAAAAATCTTTATTTACGGACACTGGAGTTTCAGTTTCATATTATTTGCACATATCACAGAATATTATCCTTTCCATTTTTCTCATTTAAAAATGTAAAAACCCTTCAGGTGGGCCAGATTTGTTGTGTAGGTCATAGTTTGTTGACACTACTCTCCAGTCTAATACTCTTCTCAGTCCCTTGGCAGAAAGGATTGCACTAAAACAGATCAGGCCCAGGGTAGGAAACGGGTATTTCCCGTTCAGCCCTTGGTCTTATGAATAGGCTCTATTCCAAACTCTTACCATAGTACGTTTATAATTTAGAACTACAGATAGATGAAGGGACAGAAAGTCATTGTGCTGCTCCCCCTTCCCAGATGGATGATAGGGGCTTTAGGAATGCTGAGAACCAGACTTAGGGTTCAAGTTCTAAACTCTTAGCTTACAGATCAAAAACACTGTGGCCCAAAGAAGCAAAGTGACTTGGCCAAGGTGAGTGACACAGCTGATACAGGAATCCAAGTTCACTCCCCCTCAGCTCCAGGACTCCTCGGGTAGCTTCCGGAAAGTCAGGACTCAGGAGTGAGGCCCTACTCAGTCAGGAGTGGATAAGGCCCTCCTTAGGACCAGAGAGATTACAGACCCCCTTGGGATTGCGCTCTGGTCTGGCTCAGGTGTCCAGGGAACCGTTCCAGAAACCCGGAGACCAATCTCTGACTCCTCTGCTGGAAACCCGGGGATCGATCCCTGACTGGGCTGGGACCCCTTGGTCCCAGCTAATCTTGGGTGGAAATTCAGGCGAGGGGCTCCGCCTGCTGACTGCGACTTCCGAAGAGCTTTCGTGCCTTTACAACCACTACCTGTGGGAAGAAGGGCACGGAGAACGGTGTCCATTTCCTAAAAGACGAAAGTGAGGCCGAGCGAGGGGTCGCGACAGCGCGAAGCGAGGTATTAGCGGAGCCAGCACTCGAACCCAGGTCCCTGAGCTCCCAGCCCGGGCTCTTTCTCACCCCCAAACCACAGTGGGACGCAGCCGGGCTGGGGACTCCGAGACCCGCCTTTCGCCACCCGGCCGGCGTCGCAGCTCCCCAGGCTCCTGGGAGGTGGAATCAGGGTCTCACTGGGACGCTCGCACACACCTGGCACCGCCGCCCTGCAGCCCAGCGGCAGAGGTCCGCTCGCCCTCTTATAGGCTCGCGGCACTTCCGGTCGCGCGCGCGGCCGTCTGGGAAATGAAGTCCGGAGCCGCGGGGTCACCAGCTTCCAGCGCTCCAAGGTGCCGACCCCAACTCCAGCTCCTCCTCGGGAGTTTCTTCTCCAAGCCCAGGGTTCCAGGGACGAGGGACGCCGTCACGGGGCGACCCTGTCCCTCGCCCCCCATCCGGTGGGAGCGGAAATGTTCGGGCCGACGAGAAGCCTCTTGCCAGGGGCTGGCGCTCGGCACGGCCGCGCGCAGGGAGGACGAGAGGCTTTGCTCAGTGGTTGGGAGGGCCGGGAGCAGGGCACGGCGACGCTGGGACGGCCAGCAGAGGGGCGGGCCCGGGAAGGAGGGGGCCCAAACATGGCGGCCGGGCCGGCCAGAGAGCCGGAGAGAAAGCCAGGACCGGCGGTAGCCCGGCGTAGGCGGAGCCCGCGGCCGCCATGTACTTCCGGAATTTGAAACCCGTTTCCGGAAGTCAGGACGGGGTCCCCATGACGACCGACGTTGGCGCTGGCAGGTGAGAGTGCTGGATGGGGAGCAGGTAAAGCGACCAGAAGACGGAATTTTTGTTGTTGTCGTTTGGGTTTGGGTTTTTTGCCAAAGCAGCCCCATTTTAAAGTAGCTAGGGAAGGGTGGGGAAACCTGCTCTGGGGACAAAGGGGACGCGGCAGCAGCGGTGGACGGACTGTGAAGACCGCTTCGTTACCTTGCGAATCACCGCTGCCCTAAACCGGAGGAGATGGTCCTCCTTCCCGTGGCCAGGGCGGGGGGCCGTTCCAGATAACGGATCCCCACAGCAGCCCTCTGGTGGCCTGTGAGGTGGTGGGTAAGGGCACGGGCTAGTGTCACACCTAGTTGTGAATCCTGGCTCTGCTCACCTGCGAGCTGGAGGAATGACTTGAACTCTGACCTCGTGTCGTTGCCTATAGAATTAGGATGAATGACTTGAACTCTGACCTTGGGTCCTTGCCTGTAGAATGGGGATCATTCTTTCCCACCTTGCAGAGTAGTTGTGAGGATTAAAGGAATTATCTTGGTTGACAGGTTTAGCATGATGCTGATATGTAGGTGATAGCTCATTAATATTCGTTACATTTAATTAATATTCGTAAAGTTAATAGTATTTAATGAATGAGGAAACTCGGGCTCAGAGAAACTACATTTATACATCCTGTAAGGTGGGACTTCTCCACCAGGTGAGGTGGGCGAGGTTCCTTAACCTCTCAGCGCCTCTGTGTAAAATGGGGATTAGGGGCTGGCCGGTGACCAAGTGGTTAAGTTGATGCGCTCTGCTTCGGTGACCCGGGGTGGTTGCGATCCTGGCGCAGACCTACATACCACTCATCAAACCATGCTGTGGTGGCGGCCCACATAGAATTAGAATGACCTACAACTAGGATATACAACTGCGTACTGGGGCTTTGGGAAGAAAAAAAAAAGAGGAAGATTGGCAACAAATCTTCACTCAGAGCCAATCTTCCACACCAAAAAAAAAGGAAATAAATGCAGGTATCTACCAGTTATACTATTAAAAAAAAATAAAGTGGAAATTATTTGCATAATAAGACTACTTCTCGAGATGGGTGTGGGATTAAATAAGGTAATAAATATGAAAAGAGTTTGTAAATTGTAAAACATTTTACAGATGTTAATTTAACTTCTCTCTTCTAAGACTTCATAGCATTTTGAAATTTGCTTATAGATTTGATCCAGCTGGAGAGTTACAGGACACCCCCTGAGAGCAACTTCTGGGTCTTGGAATATATGAAATGAAAGGCCTGGTGCTACTATGTTGCTACAATAACACTAAACATAAAGTTTTGCAGGAGAGCACTATTTCCTCTTAGCTTTATCTGCCTACACCACTTCTCACTTCTTTTTTTTTTTTTGAGGAAGATTAGCCCTGAGCTAACATCAGCCACCAATGCTCTTCTTTTTGCTGAGGAAGACTGGCCCTGAGCTAACATCTGTGCCCATCTTCCTCTACTTTATATGTGGGACGCCTGCCACAGCATTGCTTGACAAGTGGTGCCATGTCCGCACCCGGGATCCGAACCAGCGAACCCCGGGCCACCAAAGTGAAACATGCACACTTAACTTCTGCGCCACCGCGCCAGCCCCCACTTCTCACTTCTGTGCCAACATTTTTTCCATCTAGTTATGCATCAGCCTATCAGTTATGTGAAAGGCAGCCTTGTGCAGTAGTTAAGAGCAGACTCTGGCCCCAGGCTGCCTGGATCTGAATCCCAGCTCTGCCACTTACTGGCAGTGTGACCTTGGACAAAGTATTTTACCTCTCTGGGCCTCAGTGGTCCCATCTGTAAAATGGGGAGAGTAATAGTGTACCTTCTGTCTCATGGGATTATTGTGATTTAATTAAAGGTAGTACTTAGAATAGTCCCGGGCACTTTGTAAGTGTTATGGAAAAGTATACTGCTGCAATTAGTATTAGAATTAGTATTATTACATGACCAGTCAGTCAGTCTTTGTAGTACCCCTGGATTCCTTTGGACTCAAACATAGTTAGAAAGAGTTCCTCATTTAGAAGGTTCCAGGCACGGAGAAAGGTTTGAGAGTAAGGGTCCCTCGGAGGAGTGACTAGTTGGTTTTTTGTTGTTGTTGGGTTTGTTCACTGCTGTATCCCAAGCACCTAGAATGGTGCCTGGCACATAGTAGGTCCTTAGTAAATATTTACTGTATTAATGAATTTCTAACCTCACCTCTCTTTTTTCCTCCACAGGCTGTTGTCTTAGAGCAAGGGAAACAGCTCTGATTCTGAGGAACCAGACGCTTCTTCCTCAGTGCTGGGGAGAAAGCCAGGAGCCGTTGTGTGGGGAAGTATGGAATGTGCCCTTGGGGGCCCAAGAGAGCAGCAGGAAGATGCTCCAGACCAGTAACTACAGCCTGGTGCTCTCCCTGCAGTTCCTGCTGCTGTCCTATGACCTCTTTGTCAATTCCTTCTCGGAGCTCCTGCGGATGGCTCCTGTCATCCAGCTCGTGCTCTTCATGTGAGTTCAGTGGGTGGGGCGGCGCAGCTGCACCCAAGCAGTTCGAAGGCCCTGACCGTTGTGATTTAGCATTTTAAAGTTGTTAACAGAGAAACATCAGGGAGAACAAAATCGTACGTTATCCCGGGTACTCCATGGTACAGACATGTCACAGGTCCTGTTTTTATATACTTCTGACAAAGATTTGGGATATGGGGAGCAGTGCACATTGAAAATGAGGGTCAGGCTGTGGCCCCTGTCATTTTCTCCATCTGCGAGTTGAAATGTTGTCTTACTGTGCCGTGAAAGAGGACCACAAAATGGCAGGTTAAAAGGGAAATCATATTAATAATATATGTGAATCCCATAAGTGGAAACTGTTGGCATTTTTCCTCCACAGTGATTTATAGACTCCGTGAGGCACGTTCGAAACTGAAAACTACAGTCTTAAACATGATCTTCCTTCATTCAATAAGTATTCGTTGGCCTGCCAGACAGTGTTCTATTTGGACTTCTAAGACCAGGTGTAGTCTAGGCCTGACAAGCTCCTGCTCTCATGGGGTTTTCATTCTAGTGGAGAGAGACAACAAATATATTAAAAAAAAAAAAAGATAATTTTATAAGTGGATATAAAGCGGGTGGGGAGGGGATGGCTACATTAGGTACCAGGGTTAAAGAAAAATTTTTCTGAAAAGGGGACATTTGAAATTGAATGGCACCAAGGCACCAGCCATGCAAAGATCAGGGCAAGTGTGTTGCTGTCTTGCTACATGTAAACGTCTCATAGGACCAGATTTTTTGACAGACGACGCTAGCATTTTCTGACGTAGGGTAGAAACTAGCCTCTCCTCACAAGTGCCCGGGAGGTTTGTTGAGTTAAGAGTGTGAGAGCAGGAAGGCCTTGCATGTGGACTGCAACTCAACTGGTGGGGCCAGCAGGTAGTTTAAGCTTCATGTCGTTTGGGTCCCAAAGCCCATGGGGAGATTGGGGGGGATTCAGAGGACTGTATCACAGGGAAGGACAGATCTCATAGTGTCCCTTAGGACTGAGGGCCGGCTCGTGTGTCCTCACACAGGCCTCCATTTGGCTGTACTTTGTTTTATATGTCTGCAGCATCCAGGATATTGCAGTCCTCTTCAACATCATCATCATTTTCCTCATGTTCTTCAACACCTTCGTCTTCCAGGCTGGCCTGGTCAACCTCCTGTTCCATAAGTTCAAAGGGACCATCATCCTGACAGGCGTGTACTTCGCCCTCAGCATCTCCCTTCATGTCTGGGTCATGGTAAGAATGGAACCCTGAATTTCTGAATCCTTAAATGGCTAGGAATATCTTTTCTCTGGGAATCCAGCCTCATTCTTTTATATCTCACAGAATCCCTGATAGGCAACAGGTGAAATGAATGTGGTCCGGCCTGGAGCTAGGCATGTGAGAGTTTCATAAGGCACTTTTGCGCAACCTAATGTGTTGAAGAACAGCCTTATCCAAGAGTTGAGGGACACTTCTGGAACATTCAGTTCACCTTTGCCCCAAACAGGCCTGCCAGGGCTAAAACAGAAAGTTGACTCTGTTTCATCATTAGCTGTTCGGGCAGGTGGGTGTTGATACAGGGTATTCTTAGGCACCAGGGTCCTATGGGAAATGGACAAGCAAGAGTGCTGTTTGCCCTCAGTGCCTCTTGCCCTCTGCTGCATCCCCATCACTGACACTAGAAGAGCCAGCCTCCAGGATGCCTCCCTTTGTTCTGACATAGGCCTCAGAGCAAATCTAGTTTTCACGGTTTCAGATTTCTGCTTCACAAATTCTTCCGTCTCTTTGGGTATCCCACGTGCTTCTCATGTACTCATTTTGATGGAACACATTAAAACCTCAGGTTCTCTAGTGACTTCTGTACAAAAGCCACCTTCTCAGACTGAACTTCGTTAGGTTGCCCGTGTGATTCCACAGAGAGAAGCGGAGCCCACAGGAAAGAAGCAGAGCGGTGCCGAAGTCTCTAGGTGCTTCCTGAAGAGGATTGGCTTTGCTCTGGCCCCTGGAGCCAAAATAGGTCCCGGCTTTGTACTAAGAAGCTGCTAATCTGCTTAAACCCTGAGTGCACCCACCTTTATCTGGCAGGAGCTGAGCCTGAGATTTTCAAGGCAAGACAGTGACCCGCTGAACCCCTGAGATAATATATGTCATTTCTCCTTGGCAAAGGCTATGAAGTGAAAGGGAATAAATAGCTTAGTGCAAACTTCCTCAGGGTTAAAAGGAGATTTCCTTTGCAGCAAAAAAAAAAAGGGAGTTTGAGGGTCCTTTGAGAAACACTCCTTAGGGTCTTGGAAAGAAAGAAGGAGGGTGAGAGTAGTCGATTTTAAACCAAGTGGTATCTCTGCAGCTAACCAAGTTGGAGATGTTAGGGCCTCATCTGCCATTAACCTTTCCCTGTCTACTCCTGTCTCCTTCAGAACTTACGCTGGAAAAACTCCAAACGCTTTGTCTGGACAGATGGACTTCAAACGCTATTTGTATTCCAGAGACTAGGTAAGGAGCGGAACAACGTCAGGCCTCACTTTGATCCCACCTATGGCTCTGGCAGTGAGGGCCTTCATCCTGGCCGCCCAGCCCAGCACAGCTGGTGTGGGATGGTTGGGACAGCCTCGCCAAGAACAGGAGAGACTCCTGCCCTCTGTCCTTGCTGGGAGTCACTGGGAAGGCATGAGCCAGGGCCCCTCTCAGCCTTGTTAGGTTCTGGCCTTACCCCGAAACCAATACTCAGGAGCGTCCCTGAGGCTGCTTTTGTGCTTATTACCTGCAGCGGCAGTGTTATACTGTTACTTCTACAAACGGACAGCTGTGAGACTGGGCGATCCTCGCTTCTACCAGGACTCTCTATGGCTGCGCAAGGAGTTCCTGCAAGTCCGACGGTGACCGCTTCTTATCACACTGATGGATGGCGTTCCTTCCTGACGGAAGCCACGTCTGCAGTTCTGAAGGGGGAGTGGTTGGCCCGCTGCATCCGGAAGCAGCTTGACTTTTCCAGGACAGGCTCAGGCCCGTTGTGTTCAGCAGTCAAGAGGGAAGATCTCCCTCTTGTGAATTACAGTGTTCCCCACTACAGACGCCAGTGTATCCTCCCCCTGCCTCAGTGTTGACCCTTCCTGCCCCCACCGTTCCTCACAGAAGGCTCTGTGGCTCTTATCCTTGGGAAGCTTTGTGCTTAGCCTGGCACAGCCCGAGCTCCCAGCCCCCACTTCCCTTGCACCACACACTAATGACTGAAGGATGCAAAGAGGGATATTTCTGTGCTCCTGGCTGGTCACAGCTTAGACATAGAGATTTTATACCCAAGGCACATTTTTTACATTTTATAAATAGGAAATAAATTCAATTGTTTTTCCATAAATGGTGGAGTCTGTCCGTCTAGATAGATCTCTTCATGGGTAAGAGGCATGCCAAGTCCTAACCTCAGCATCCACTTGACCCAGTGGGCAGAGTGAGCCACAGAGCAAATACAGGTATTTATTGAGTCCCTTTATGAGTACACGGTATTTTTGCAGAAATTTAAGATATCATCTGATGCCCCACCCCCACCCCTGGAGTTACAGATTTCTGTGCTTCGTTCAGACTCTCTCCTCATCAGAGGCCCAAACTACCCTCAGAAGAATAAAAAATGTTCCTTAGCCTATTTTGGCAAAGGGAATTTTTAAAATTCATGTGACCATAGCACCAGTTTTCTGTTGCCAGAATAATGTGTCACAAGCACCATGAAACTTCAGTGGCATGCAACAGTTACGTGGCTCTTGAGTCTTGGGCTCAGCTGACTGCGGCTGGGTTCGGGTAGTGTGCTTGCTCGTGTGTCTGTGTCAGCTGTGGACTGGCCAGGCAGCTGCAACGATCTTAGGATCCCTGGCTGCTGGCTGACCTCAGCTGGCCTCAGCTGGAATGACTGGGCTGTTCTGCTCTGGTTCACATGACCCATCCTCCAGAGGATAGCCTGGGTCTGTTCACATGACAGTGGCAGAGGAGCAGGAGAACAAGCCCCAGTGTGCAATGCCATTTCAAGACTCTGCTTGTATTGTGTCTCTCAGACTCCCAGTGGTCAAAGCAAGTCATATGATTGAGCCCACAGTTGCCTGGCAAAACGCATGGATACAGGGAGGGCCATTCAGTCAGTCTACCACACCAGGAAGTCGCTCTGTGAAACTTGTTATTCAATGCACAGGCATTGGCAAACTTCTGCTGTGCAGGGCCACTTAGTAAGTATGTCAGATTTTGAGGGCCAGTGTCTCTTGCAACGTGAAAGCAGTCATACATGACAGGTAAACCAATGAACACAGCCGTGTTCCCGTAAAACTATTTAAGGACACTGAAATTTGAATTTCACATCATTTTCATATGTCACAAAGTATTTTTCTTTTGATTTTTTTCAACCACTTAGGAATGTAAATTTCTTCTTAGCTTGACGACTGTACAAGAACAAACTAGATCTGCCCCCAGGCCGTATGCTGATCCCTGGTTTAGAAGCTTAGAATAAAGTTTTGGGGAAAGAGAGACTATAAGTTATCAGCTGTGCCGTCAAGATTTTAACAGATACTACAAAGAAAGGTACAGTGTTCAGACAAATCGTCTAAGGCCCCATATCCTCTGATCAGAACAAGTGATCTAAAAAGTCCTGATGAAGTCACCATCTACACGCACTGTCATCTGTAAAAAAATGACAATAGCCCTATTTTGAATCTTTTCATAAAAGCTCTTACGGAATATTGTAATCCCCTTTGTTCATTACAATCTTTGAAAGATAGGCAATTTTCTGTGCCACCAAATGAATCAGGGCTAGATTGTTCTCTGTGGTCTTTGAAGCTAGTGAGTACAACCAAATGCCTGTTTGAGGAATCACTCACAATATTTATGGCACTTTGTGGCCCTCTGAGTCCCTGGAATGAGTATGTGTGTGTATATATATGTTTATTTTCCTTAACAGTCAATACATTCACGTGGTACAAAATTCAAGTTATAAAAAGGTGTATGCGGTTAATCTTCCCACGGCCGCATCTCAGCCACTGACTTCCTTCTCCCTTCCCTCCTTGACAATCTGCATTTACTCATATATTTGTTAGAAACAAGGTAACATTTCAGAAACATTTTTACATAGAAAAGATTGCCATGATCCTACCCCAATCATTTATTTCAAATCCCTCACAGTAAGTGTATATATTTTATACACAGTTGTGATTATGGGGAATGTGCCATAAAATACTTTGCTTTCTTTTTTTCACTTGGCAGTAGGAATATGTTTTTATGATACCGTGTAAATTGACTCCTTGGGGAAAGTCAGCTTTCAAAGTTCAGAGGAAGGAAACGAACACTTTAAAAGTGCTTAGAGACTTTTACTTTTAGTAGGCTAGAGTTATTTCTGGCTGATCAATGCTCCAGTCAGGAACTAAAAAAAACAGATAAAATATAGAAATTGTCTTTTTAGGGGCTGGCCCCGTGGCCGAGTGGTTTGAGTTCACGCACTCCGCTTCAGCGGCCCAGCGTTTCACCGGTTCGAATCCTCGGCGTGCACATGCCACCGCTCATCAAGCCATGCTGAGGCGGCATCCCACATGCCACAAGTAGAAGGACCCACATCTAAAAATACACAACTATGTACCAGGGGGGCTTTGGGGAGAAAAAGGAAAAACAAAATCTTTAAAAAAAAAAAAAAAAAGAAATTGTCTTTTTAAAAGGCCTCAGAGAATTGCTGAAGTAGAGAGGATTGGAGGGCCTAAAATTCTAAAGTAGGGAGAATCATAGGGAAGTGAGCTGACAATCTACAGCAGGATTTCCCTGGGGGCATTTGCTGATTCTAAATTTGAGCAAGAGGCTAAGAATCCAAACATTGCCCAGACAGACGGTTGCAGCCAGGGAACAGAGAAGCCAGCTGAGCTCAGTGTCTTATAATGCTGGAGCGACAAAGTTGGGGACTGGAAGAGGCTTAAAAATACAACACATTTTTTTCTCAAGATATTTACCAAGTTCTGAAGCTGTATAGGGCCGGCAGCTATAAAAAGCTAAGCCTCAAACTTCTGAAAAGCAGAATAGAATTTTTGGCAGGCTTATGGTGCTGATGACTAGCATTCAGGACCCACTCAGGGGAGGAAACTGGTAAACACACAGGGCTTTCAGTGAAAGCTCCTTACTAGGAACAAGAGGATACAGGTAGGCTTATCAAAATTGCAGTGCAGCCTCCAACTATATAGACCCTGAGTGGATTAAGGTGATCAGCCCCCATTCTATCTGCCTAGCAGAGGAAAGAGTGAAGGAAAAAACATCTAGAGACACTAACTTTTTTGTTTTTTTTTGATGAAGATTAGCCCTGAGCTAACTATTGCCAATCCTCCTCTTTTGGCTGAGGAAGACTGGCCCTGAGCTAACATCCACACCCATCTTCGTCTGCTTTATATGTGGGATGCCTACCACAGCATGGCTTTTGCCAAGCGATGCCATGTCTGCAACCGGGATCTGAACCGGCGAACCCCGGGCCTCTGAGAAACAGAACATGCAAACTTAATCGCTGCACCACCGGGCCGGCTCCAAACACTGTAACTTTTTATACATAATTTCTGGGTCTAATAAAAATTACTAGCAAGTCAAGAGATAGGACCATATTATTTAAAATCAGGGTAAAAGTAGAAAATATAAACAGGTGATTTAAATATTGGAGAAAGCAGACAAGGAGTTTAAACTATGATTGATAAAAAATAGAGGGAAATATGGAGCAAATAGATAAAATATTTACACTATACCTAGGGACTTCTAATAATGGCTGAGTAAGATTCTATTGGGATGACCACTCCACAAACAACTGTAAAATCTGGACATAATACAAAAACAGCTACTTGAAGACACTAAAGAATGAAGGGAGGCAGAATGTTTGATGAGGAGTCCACATTCAAAAATGGAGGCTTAGGCCAGAAGTTCCCTATTTTTGCTGTTTGTAACTTGGTAGCAAGCAAAGTGGTATGTATAATATGCTGGTGGAAAATCCCAGTGCCACAGTACTGAGCTAAGGCAACTGAAGCCACTGGAGAGAAAGCGGGAATCTCAGAAGGGAAAGAGCCACAGAGGGAGGAATCCCCAAATTCTGTCTGCCCACATCTCTGCCCAAGCTCTGGGCCACACATCCACAATTCAGACTCAAGGCAGCCAGAAGATCTAAACTGAGATTGGAGCGGCCACCCAGTAAGTGTGGTTTGCAGTGTGTATCTAACAAAGTTAATTGCCTGACAAAATAAAAGAACCATCACTCTTTGGAGACAAATAATAGAAACCAAAGTCTCCACAATTTAACGTTCAGTACTGACACCAACACTGAGATGATCCAGATACTGGAATTAACGGATGATATTAAAGCAGCAATGAAAATATGTTCTCAGTGAATAAAAAGAAGGCAATCTCAGCATGGAAACAAATGATTTTTGAAAAACAAATCCCAAAAGTAAAAATTACGACAACTGACAATTTTTCAATTAAATGGATGGATTTAACAGCAAAAGACAAAACAGGATAAGTCAATGAACTAGAAGATAGACCAATAGAAATTACCCAGGCAGGGGAGAACAGAGGGAAAAAAAGATTAAAAAAAAAAAGTCTCACAGACTAGTTAGATAATATCTAACTATTGTAATTGGAGTCCTAGAAGGCAAAGAGAAGGCACAGAGCAGAAAAATATATATTAGCCAAAAATTTCCTAAATTTGATCAAAGGCAGAAATCTACAGATTTAAGATACTCCGCAAACCCACCTTGATAAACACTGGAAGGCCACACCTAGGTACGTCATAGTCAAATTATTGAAAGCTGAAGATGAGGAGCAAATCTTGAAAGCAGCAAGAGAAGAACGACACCACATACAGAGGAACAACGATTAACTGCTGACTTCTCACCAGAAATCAGAGACAGAAGAGAGTGTAACAACATCTCGAAAATGCTGAAGGAAAAAGACCAACTCAGAATTCTATATTCACCAAAAATATAGTTCAAGAATGAAGTTGAAATCAATACATTTTCTGATAAAAGAAAACTAAGAGAATTAGTTGCCAACAATCCTGCACTGTAAGAAACACTGAAGGAGATCTTTGGTTTGAAGGGAAGCAGTAACAAATGGAAACTCAGAGCCTCACAAAGGAATGGAGCACATCAGAAATAATATCTGGGTAAATATAAAGACTATTTTTTTTTCTGAGGAAGATTAGCCCTGAGCTAACTACTGCCAATCCTCCTCTTTTTGCTGAGGAAGACTGGCCCTGAGCTAACATGTGTGGCCATCTTCCTCTACTTTATATGTGGGATGCCTACCACAGCATGGCTTGCCGAGTGGTGCCATGTCCGCACCCGCGATCCGAACCAGTGAACCCCGGGCCGCTGAGAAGCAGAATGTGTGCAATTAACCGCTGTGCCACCGGGCCAGCCCCAAGACTATTTTTAATTTTTTCTTTTTTCCTATTTTTTTATAATTCATATGAATGTAGAATGCTAATTTTTGTCAAGTACACAGAACATTGACCCAGTATATACCATATGCTGGGCTATAAAATAATTCTCAATAAATTTAAAAGAATAAATTTAAATAAATTTAAAAGGATAAAGAGTATGTTCTTTGACAATAATGGAATTGAGTTAGACATCAGTAACAATAAGATAGCTAGGTGGGTCAGTCTAGGTCCAATCAG